GTCATCCCTGCGGGCGAGATTTGTGCCATTTTAGTCTGGTGTGCGGGGTTCAGCGCGCTGCAGGTGTGTGGCAAGGTTTTGTCGGGAAAAAGGTGTCGCTGGTCGGTCCAGGTATGGCAGGTGTCGGGCCAGGTGTTTGCCGCACTCCTTTGCAGGAGGCGTTGTGGGCGGGAAAGGAGCGCACTTCAGCGGCAAAGTGGTTTGGTGTAAGGTTTAGGGAACCTTGTAGTGTGTGGAGCATGGTCTAGGGTGCGGTTGTCAGTGTTGCAGTTGACCAGTCTGTAACGTGTTTGGGGGCTGCGCTGTCGAGGCACCCGGGTTCGTGCCAGTCAGCTGACTTCAGCCATGGGTGTTGCGATGGTGGATGATGGCGACGAGTAAGCCAGTGGCAGGCTTCGGTGACGAACGCTGAGATACTCTGCGTCCAGTGCGACACGATGTGGGACTTAGTGTCACGTTCAAGCGAGCCACGGACAAAACTCACGAAGACCACTTTATCAAGGCGGGATACGTTTTTGCGTAGCACATGCCAAAACCATGGAAAACGATAAGGTCTCCCCCAAAAACGATAACCCTTAGCGAACACACGGCGGCTCTACAATAACCCCTGCAGTTGCAACTTAGCTAGGGTGGGACCCTTGCGTGGCCACCGTAAAACGACAAGGCGAGTCGCCACTTTCGAGCTGGAGCAGCCAAGGTGTGCTTCGTAAATACGACACTTGTACTGAGAAGTTGCGATTTTGGAGCTGGAGCTGCGGACGTGTACTTCGCGTACGAGACTTGTGCTACAAAGTTGCGATTTTCGAGCTGGAGATGCGGAAGTGTACTTTGCTTACTAGACTTGTACTACAAAGTTGCGATTTTCGAGCTGGAGATGCGGAAGTGTACTTCGCGTACTAGACTTGTACTACAAAGTTGCGATTTTCGAGCTGGAGCTGCGGAAGTGTACTTCGCCTACTAGACTTGTACTACAAAGTTGCGATTTTCGAGACGCGGAAGTGTACTTCGCGTGCTAGGATTGCACTACAAAGTTGCGATATTCGAGCTGCAGCTGCGGATGTACTTCGCGTACTAGACTTGTACTACAAAGTTGCAATTTTCGAGCTGGAGCTGCGGAAGTGTACTTCGCGTACTAGACTTGTACTACAAAGTTGCGATTCTCGAGCTGGAGATACTAGATTGTACTTCGTGTACTAGACTTGTACTACAAAGTTGCGATTTTCGAGCTGGAGATGCGGAAGTGTACTTCGCGTACTAGACTTGCACTACAAAGTTGCGATTTTCAAGCTGGAAATGTGGAAGTGCGCTTCGCGTACTAGACTTGTACTACAAAGTTGCGATTTTCGAGCCGGAGCTGCCGAAGTGTGCCTCGCGTACTAGACTTGCACTACAAAGTTGCGATTTTCGAGCTGGAGCGCTGTGGAAGTGTACTTCCCGTACTAGACTTGTACTACAAAGTTGCGATTTTCGAGCTGGAGCTGCGGAAGTTTACTTCGCGTCCTAGACTTGTGCTACAAAGTTGCGACTTTCGAGCTGGAGCTGCGGACGTGTACTTCGTGCACTTGACTTGTACTCCAAAGTTGCGATTTTCGAGCTGGAGCTGCGGAAGTGTACTTCGCGTACGAGACTGTTACTACAAAGTTGCGATTTTCGAGCTGGAGCGCTGTGGAAGTGTACTTCCCGTACTAGACTTGTACTACAAAGTTGCGATTTTCGAGCTGGAGCTGCGGAAGTTTACTTCGCGTACTAGACTTGTGCTACAAAGTTGCGTACTAGACTTGTACTACAAGGTTGCGATTTCCGAGCTGGAGATGCGGAAGTGTACTTCGCGCACTAGACTTGTACTACAAAGTTGCGACTTTCGAGCTGGAGATGCGGAAGTGTACTTCGCTTATTAGAGTTGTACTACAAAGTTGCGATTTTCGAGCTGGAGATGCGGAAGTGTAGTTCGTACTACAAAGTTGCGATTTTCGAGCTGGAGCTGCGGAAGTGTACTTCGCGTACTAGACTTGTACTACAAAGCTGCGATTCTCGAGCTGGAGATGCGGAAGTGTACTTCGCGTACTAGACTTGTACTACAAAGTTGCGATTCTCGAGCTGGAGCTGCGGAAGTGTGCTTCGCGTACTAGACTTGTACTACAAAGTTGCGATTTTCGAGCCGGATCTGCCAAAGCTCGAAAACACTGTGAAACGATAAGGTCTCCCCCCAAAACGATAACGTTCAAAAAAGTACTAGGGCCAAGTAAAGTGTTTCGTCCGCGCCTCAAGTGTTTTCGATCTTCTGCATGGCAAGAGCGGCTGTGTTTTGATTTTGGCCAAGTTGCTTGCTCTCCCTCAGTGCCATGAGTGCATGCCATCAGTGGCGGATGCAGGGAGAGGAAAAGCGACTTCTTCTGCACACGGTACAAGTACCCGGAAAAAAAGACCAACATCGGAGCTAGTGCTGCAAGCATCCTTGTGAATGGGCTTTGGCGAGTAGCTCCGAGAGTAGCAAGGAAAACAAACAGGTTGATACTCATCCACGCACGTGCTGCAGCTTGGAGGGATCCTCACATGAAGGTCGAGAAGTATTGTTGTAAGCAGAACAGGAGTTCGACAGGAAAAACCGCCTTGCAACCCATGAACAAACTCGATGTCTCCTCGTGTCTGTTTCTTTTTGTTTCCATTTGCTCAAGTTGCTTCGTATCATTTCCCTCCTTTGTGGATAGGGGTTGCCACCACTACGGGAAAGTATTGCCTGTGTCTGAAGCGTCGCAAGCAAACGGAAGTAGGGTTCCTCAACTCAAAGGTTGCGAATGTTCGGTACTATAGCAGGTGCGTGGTTCGTTCGCAAGGGCGCCGCGCAAGAAGCGATGTCTCAGCCGGGATTTCTCCCTCGGTTGACCCCACCTTTGCCTCGAAGATGTGCTTTTCCCCTTGTCACGGTTACTGGCAGAACGGGTCTCACCCAGGTGAGGTCGTTTCTTCCTCGTTGGGGGGAGGTCTTGGCAAAGCAAACGGCATTGGACGGATGCCCGTTTGATATCCGTATTGCGCGCACCGCAGCAAACTCAGTTGGGAGCCCACAAGGGGCCGGCCAAAGGGCATGCCCGTGGTGGGGGTGGCTTGCCAGGCCTCTCTACATTGGGGAATGGAAGGAGACACTCCAGCAAGCGTCAGCGAGCGTTTAGAATATACACAGACATTTGTATCAGGATGACAGAATAGGTGCCTGCGGCGGTTTGCTGCAATGCCGCGCACAGCGGTCTGGCTGCACGGCGCTCGTGTGTACGTGCACAGCGATGAGCAGGGAGGCGACGTGCTGGCTGCGGCTTGCCTGTTGGAAGAGACGGCTTGTTCGTCTGTGTCGAAGTGCTCTTGTCGCTACTTTTCTTGTCGACGCAGTCGAAGCCTGCCAAGCTTTCTACAACCTGAGTGGCAGGGTCTCGAGGCATTCCCCCAGATGCATTTTGGAAATCTGTTCCATTTTCGCGAAATCCCGGAGTCCAGGAACATCAGGTCAGACGGAGTTTGGAAGCGCCGAAGTCAGAGACAGAGACAGAGACAGAGACAGAGAGAGAGACACGGACACAGACATAGACACAGACACAGACGGAGACACAGACACAGACACAGACACACAGACACACAGACACACAGACATACAGACACCACAGACACCACAGACACCACAGACACCACAGACACCAGAGACACCAGAGGCACCACAGACACCAGAGACACAACAGGCACAACAGACACAACAGACACAACAGACACAACTGACACAACAGACACAACAGACACAACAGACACAACAGACACAACAGACACACAGACACACAGACACAGAGACACACAGACACACAGACGCACAGACACACAGACACAGAGACACGCAGACACACAGACACACAGACACACAGACACACAGACACACAGAGACGCAGAGACGCATAGAGGCACAGAGGCACACCCACAGAGAGAGACACAGAGAGAGACACAGAGAGAGACACAGAGAGAGACACAGAGGGAGACACAGAGAGAGACACAGAGAGAGACACAGAGAGAGACACAGAGAGAGACACAGAGAGAGACACAGAGAGAGACACAGAGACAGACGGCAAGCACTAGTGGAAGGTAAAGGTGAGGAGGCATTTCGTGTTTTTACGTGTGTTTACCGCCGAGCACCTGTGTATACCAGGATGTACTCTGACAGAAAGGGGACCAACAGGAATACGAAAAGCACGGGCTGCGCGCAGGCCGGCGTGTTGGCGTCAGTAGGGAGCCCCTCCCAATGTGTTGGAACCTTGTCCGTGTTTGTCGGGGACGACGGACAGAAGCAGGCGCCCCTCCGGCAGCAACACAACTTGGGGAAGAAGCAGGGCCGCTAGCTTCGGTTCCAGCATCCGAAAGCTCGAGCCCTTTGTGTCGTGGTAGGTCGGCTTGCAGCTGTGTGACTAAGGAGCTCCGGAAACTGCGCAGCAGCAAACGTGGGCAATGGGAGTGCCCTGGCTGCGAGGAGCAATCGAGCAGCAACACCTTCTTCCTATGAATAGGTGGACCCCGTAACCATAGAAACCCTGCAAAAAATAGCAAAACGTGAGTCCGCTAATGTCAACCCGCCGAATGCTTGGAGCAATACCAAACTTGGCAGAGCTCGCAGGACCCCTTGGCAACCTCCCAGAATGTCCTTCTAAGGGCCCCGGTGGAAAATCTAATGCTTCTAGCGTTCGGGTTGAAAGGCCGCAGTTTTCGCGGCAAACAACATGGTCGCTTTCCTTAGTAGGACCTGGACCGAAAATTTGGAGCATTTTTGTCCGCCTCAAAGGGGCTCCCCTTTCCAAGCAAAGCGACGTAAGACCACAAAGAGAAAAACGAAAGATCCCTGGCCCCAAACGGAGGGAGCGCAGGATTGAAAAAACTTCATTTTTCTTTTAATCTGGGAGGGCGGGGGAGGGGCCCAACGGTGATTAAAAGGGGAAACGGATTAGCGTCACCTTGGGTGGTTCGTTGCGCAGGAAGACGGAGTGGAAGAGTCGCGTGAAGCGCTGGCGACAGAGCCGCTCTGCGCGGCAGCGCTGCAAGCTAGGCCAGCAGGGCGTCACCCCGAAGGCGCGCTGGAAAGTCAGTTTGCGCTAGGGGGCGGTCCACTTGCAGGGAACACGGCGGGAAAGTCAGTTTGCGCTAGGGGGCGGTCCACTTGCAGGGAACACGGCGGTAGTCCGTGCACGTAGGCTGTTGCTATGGATGGCTGAGCCGTGCTGTCGCTTCAGATGGCGCCGTGGAACAGAATTGGTTGGGGAACCCTGCAAGACTCGCACTGCTGCAAGCCTCGCTTTGGAGGGCTTTCCCTGGAACAAGTCGGGGCGCGGGTTAGCGCTAGTGTTGGAAAAGGGGCTCGCGCTGCGGAGCTCGAAGATGTGGAACACATGGGGAACTAGAGGCCCAGAATGGAAGACTTGCTACGCTGCTTTCGGCGCGCAGGCCAGGCGGCGTGCGGCGCAGCGGGTGCAGCAGGGCCGCGCTCGCGGGCACAGCCTCGTTTCTCAGGTTCGCAGTTTTCTCTGTGGACTGGCCCGCATTTTGGTGGCGTTGTCGGAGGACTGCGTTTTGGCAGGCTTTGGGTCGGCTGCGCCTGTGCAGCAAGAGGTCACGGGCGTGGGTTCGAACTGGGCGATGTCTTGCATGATTCGGGCAGCGTGCCCTGCGTGCTGAGGAGGCCATGTGGCGGCTTCTGAGCCATCTCGGTGTGCGTGGAGGGGACGGCGGCCTTGTGAAGTTGCTGGTGGTGCGACACCTGCAGACGGTTGGGTGCTGTCCTGGCCCTCTCGTGGTCATAGGGGAGGGCGCCAAGAAGACCTGGCGCGCTCTCAGGAACGTGTGGGAGCTTCTCACCGCCACTCGGTCGCATTGCATGGCGCAACTGTTGCGACCGCACCGTCGTGTCACAAAGCTCCTGGTGGGTTTCTCGAGGGGGGGGGGGGAGGGGAGCAGGAGCTGCGGGGCGTTGGCCGTTTGGTGCCCACTCGTCTCACCGCGGGCGGAGCGCGGGAAAGGAGGGCGGGCGGTGCTTGTGTGGGAGTGGTGTGCAGGTCATGAGAGACCTCACGCGCTACCACCTTGGGGAGCGCTTCGCCATGTTCGTGTGCTTCCAGACCCTGGAGCACATGGCTTGTGAAAGCAGGCCGGGCGTCGCTGCGTGCTGCCGTTGGCAGTCTGGGCGTTGCATTCTCTATGCAGGAAGCAGGGACACCGACACATGCGCACAAAGCACGCACGCGCACGTGTACGCGCCCAAGACTGCGGACATGCAGACATGCGTACATGCACAGAAGGTGCGTGCAGCTATGCGCGCATGCGCGAATGCAGAGACGCATGCAGACTTGCACACTCCCACGCAGAAATGTCACACACACAACACACACACACAAGAAACACACGCACACGCACTGCACACACACAGACATGCATAGGCAACGCACGCGCACACAGAGACACACAACGCACAGGGAGTGCGCGCCTGCGCACGTGCGTGCGCGTGCGTGCGTGCGTGTGCGCGTGCGTGCGTGGGGGTGTGGTTGTTCAGTTGGCTGCGTGCTGGGTGTGTGCTGCTTCGACTCCCTTGCTGTTTCGACTCCCTTGGCCTGTATCGAGGAAGTTAGAATGCGGCCACTCCGGGCGGACATATGAGCTGAGCGACGGGTATATGGAACTTTGGCGAGCCTTTTCTGCCGCAGCAGGTTTGCCGCCGGTTGGTGCTGGCTGCGGCGCGCCTCCATGCATGCAGATGAACTGCGGCGAAGAAGCCGAAAAGTTGGTAGATCTCTTCGAGAGTCTACTTATACGGTGGCAGCTGAAAGTACGCGGAGAGGGCAAGGTGCAGGGCCTCCAGCGACTGCTGCGCCCGGGGGCGCGACGGTTGTGGCAGTCGAGGACCTTTTGCCACCAGGCAGCAAGGCTGGCAGCAACACGCAGGCATCTATGGGGGTTAGGTGCGGGCGCAGCTGCTCGCGATGTTGTTGCTGTTGCCGGGTTTGAGGATGGACTTCCTTTTTTTGTGCGTCGTTCCTGGGTGCAGCCGTAAAGAAGAGGCACCGGCCGAAACTGTTGTGGCAAGCTTGCGCAGCGCGGTCGCAACTGGCTGCGCATCTAGGCGTAATATGCTAGTTGAATTTCCCCATGGAAGAACAAGCGGGTAGCAATCCGTCAGGCTCAGGCAGTGTGCATGGGTGCAGTTTTTCAAGCCGAACATTCCGTGGAAGCATCCCGGAAAACTGGTGTTGGAGTAGAGGCGTTGGTCGTTGTTAGCGCGCAATGTTTGCAGGGGAGCATAGCGCGCAGGCGCGGGGTGTGCGCGACGGGAGGTGTGTTTCCGTTACCGTGCGCGTGCAGCGGAGATTTGTTCTGTGTGTTTGTGCACGAGCGTTGTTGTGTGCGGCGTTCCGCGGCTCAGAGGGCGAGCCCGAGGCGAGAAGCGTCTTTGCACGTGGACGTACCAGATGGACAAGTGCAGCCTGGCAACGTGGTGCCAAGTGCTCTCTCGAGGGGTGGTGGACGCGCGATGTGCGTGCTCCTGGCCGTGGACCGCGACCTCGGTGACTTGCATGTCGCAGCACGTGGGGCAACGGGCAAAGAGCTTTCTTCTCTCTGTGATCGCGCACACACTGTTGCCCTCCGACAAGGGACTGGGCTGGTTGGATTGCGAGACCATCCACGGAGAGTGGGAGTAGCGCGGCAGCGATCGAGTTGGCTGGGCGGGTCGGCTGTTGGTTATTAGACGGGAGCCCACACCCCCCCCTAGGAGCAGCAAGGTTCTTTTTGGGGCAATGTACAGCAATGCAGCGGGAGATATGGTTCCAAGAAGCGGCGTCACTCAAGGACACACATGTAAGAAGTCGGTCAACATGGTTGCCGGAGAGGGTCTTCAGCACATAGCGCCGTGACACGTGGCAGGGGAACAGCTCTTCGTTTCTGCAGGCTTGCGGACATTTGCGCTCAGCAGCCAGAGTTGTCAGTTGTCTATTGAGGGTTTGTTTCCCGTTGGCGGGTGCTAAGGAGGGCCACCGGCTCCTGTGGGCGCGTTCACTTTGCCTACACCAGGGCGGTCAACATGGCGATTCAGCAGCCTCGTCTGCCGGACCCAGGCGCTGCTGCGCAGCTGGCAGCAACAGCGTACGCCCAGTTCGTCGTAGGCTGGACAGGGCGCAGAGCCAGTGCCGCGGTGAGGGTTCAAGGCAGTCTTGGTAATTCCGAGAGCTCCGCCGGAGGAGGGTGGTCTTGCATAGGTGGAGGTGTGTGAGAATAGCAAGACCTTTTTTGGCGAGCAGGTTTTCTTCAATGTCAGGGCATGGCCGAATCCCCTGCAAGAGTTGCTGGATAGAAGTTGCTGCAGTACGGAGCGTGGGGCAGGCTGCAGTCTCTGCACTTCTGCGTCGTTCTCGTGACGTGGGGCTAGTGAATGGGTTAAGAAAAGGCGCGTGCCCCAGCATCGTTTTCCCAGATGTCCTGGTCTCCGTGCCTATGTTTGAAACGTGCTTGCAGGAGTGCATAATAGTCATTGCCCAGAAGAGCAACCTGAGGTTTGGGGCAATCGCCTGTTTGTCTCTTTGTGAGAGATGCACGGCACGAGTTTGGCGAGGGCTACATAGGCGGATCTCTGAAACCGAAGCACACAGCATGTTTTCTCCTGTCAGCATTGTGCTCAAAACCAAGTAGGCCTTCCACATCATGTCGACAACTTTTGCTGGCCTCAGACCCCCTCAGAAGCTCAACATGTACCCTCTCTCTGTCTCTGTCTCTACCGCTTTCTCTCTGTCTCTCTCTCCCTCTCTCTCTCTCTCTCTCTCTCTCTCTCTCTCTCTCTCTCTCTCTCTCTCTCTCTCTCTCTCTCTCTCTCTCTCTCTCTCGCTCTCTCTCTCGCTCTCTCTCTCTCTCTCTCTCTCTCTCTCTCTCTCTCTCTCTCTCTCTCTCTCTCTCTCTCTCTCTCTCTCTCTCTCTCTCTCTCTCTCTCTCTCTCTCCCCTCTTTGGACAGACGTCTCTCTCTTTTTCCTCCTCCCCTTCCCCCCTTCCCCCCTTCCCCTTCTTTGGCCGCCGCCTCACGCCTCGCCGCCTCGCCGCCTCGGGCCACCTCGGGAGGCACGACGAGTGCGGCGGACAGTGCGGTGACTACGGTGGGCGTCGCCGCGGACAGCGCCGCCATGGCGGTGGCGGCGGCGCAGACGGTCACCGTGCAGGGCTTACAGGAGTTGGACGCTCTGGGCATCTTTGGGGGGGGGGGGGTCTCCGAGGAATGATCCGCTCCCGTCTGCTGGCTTTTTGTTGCGGGTGCTCCCTTGAGGAAGGAAGGAGGGGCTTCGCCAGGACGCGGCTTTCGGCTTTCTGCTGTCACTGTTTTGGATGAAGGGCCCTGTGTGAGCGATCAGCGAGAGGGAGTTGTTGCTGCCAAAGATCCCAGCGTTGGTTGTACGCCACAGAACTGTTCACTCCCTCCGTTTGGTCGTCCATGGCTTTTGTTGGGGGTTTGAACCAGCTTCCCAGCCAAGTCCGTAGCATTGTCGAGCTGCCCAGGAAGTGTCGGACCCAGAGAGCTTCCTGAAGGACCGAAATGCAAAGAAGGCACGCAAGGAGTCCATCGCCCAAGAGGCAAGGGCGAGGTTGGCGGCTCGGAGCCCGGTTGCAGGAGTTTCCACCGGCGCCTAAAACTTTGTGTTCTTTGCATCGAAGGCCGATCAAGATCGATCAAGGGGGTCCAACCTCTTCTTTTGATTGGCGCCCCAAAAAGAAGGGAACCCGAATCCAGGATTCCGATTCCTTTTAGGCAAGATTCCCGAACCCGGTTTTGTCGGATACCTAGAAACCAACCATAGATTCAGCCGAAAACCAAGCATAGATTCAGCCCAAAATGCGGAAACTGTCTTTTGGCGGGTGGACATCCAACGTTGTTTTCTGAGTATCCGGGCCTTTCGGATGGGCAGGGGAAACCCCGAGACGCCGATATGTGTCCTGGCATTTTTGTTTTCTCACCAAGGAGAACTCCTGTGGATTGACGCAATCCTGCAGCACCCAAGAAACCCCTGCCAATCCCGTAGCAAACAACGGTTTCAACCATGGTTTCCAAGTGGTGCGTTTTTTTTCGGGTTTCGTTCATCCACATGGAGAATCCTCCTTTGGTTAGGCAAAAAGGACGACTCCCTCCAGGAAAACTCGTCCCTTGCTTTTTTGTTGGGGTCCCAAAGTCGAGGAAACGGCCGAAACGAGACACGGCGAAAAGGCGGACAGCCTGACAGGGCTCCGATGCGATCCTTTGCCGTAAAGGGACACCGCCCGCAGGTGCGTTCGGACGCCTATTTGCAGACTCTGGACTATCGTATCGAGCTGGACCCCAAGCGAGAGGGCGTGCCGCCCAACGTGAAGCTGGCAACCTGGCTAGAAAAACTGACTTGAACAGCGTCGTTTCTCAGATGATGGATTTTAGCTTCGCGGGGAACTCCCAAAAGCTCCGCGAAGGCACTTGTGCGATACATTGTGTGCCGCGAAGCCCCGCGAAGCCACTTCGCGTAGCCCGGTAACATTGACACAGGCGAAGCCACTTCGCGAAGCCACTTCGTGGTTTCAGTGTATTGCGTGCTTTCGTGGCAAGTGTGTTGTGCGCCTTCATGGCAGTAGCATTCCAAAGGTAGATGTTTAGAGTCAGCAGGCTACGACAAGACTACAGGAAGATTACGGGAAAAGGACCGGAGGAGCACTGTGCGTTTCAGGCCCGTTTTTCCTAGAAACGAAGCAACGTTTTCGCAAAGCCCCCACGAAGCCTCCGCGAAGCCTCCGCGAAGCCACCGCGGTCCAACTTCCATGCTCCGCCTCTTTCGTGAGGCCCCGCCATGTCCCCCAGTCCTGAAGCGCAATGCCTTGCTTGCCGCCTTTCATCGCCCCCTCTCGCGTGGACTCAACTTGATTCAACAACATGGGGGCGCAAACGTCAGAGATGTTTGTGGAACAAACATCCGCGAAGCCCGGCGAAGCCACTCCGCGAAGCCACAGTCTTGCCACGAAGCCTCGCGAAGCCAACCCTGCCACAAATTCTGGCCCCGCGAAGCCGCCCGCGTAGCCTAGCCAGCAGCGAACCTCCAAAAAAAAACAATGCTCACTTGGCATGTTGCCACGTGGGTCGAAGGTGTACCGATACCTTCTTTTCTTGCTGGTGCTCAGTAGGGAATGACCCATGGTTTAGGGAAGGAACCCAGGGGTTCATTGAAAGGAAAGTATAAGGGGATGGTTTATAGGGGTCATTCCCTCATTCCCTGCTGAGCACCTGCAAGTTTTGGATCGGGCTTAAGGCTGGAAACCACAAAAACCGCAAGCCATGTTTGTGGGGGTACCACCAAAACACATGTTGCCACATGCCGAAGCGGCAAGAAAAATTGCGTTGACCACGGTGATTGTTTTGGGTTGGGTACCCTTTCCAGCTTGTTTTCGAGGGAAACCAAAAAGGAGAATCACCCAAGTCTGGTAGGATCCATGTCCGATTTTCGGAGGCATGCAGCCACATGTGTGGCGCGACCGGCGTTTCCCTGAGGATGGTATGTACAAGTCGGGAGCTTGGAGTTTGAAGCAGGCTGCTAGAGTTTTGCTGCTTCGTTTCGGAAGTTTCTGAAACCATGTGTGGCGGCGCTCCGTCTTTTTTAGGTTGGCGCCCATTGTGGTGGTGGTCAAAACTATGGGGCCCCTTTAAACGGTATCCCCGAGACCAAAAGCGGGGGCAGAGACCAAAACCGCACCGAAAGCGGCACCGAAAGGGGTCCCAAAAAAAACCACCGGCCGAACAAGTACAGCATGGGTGGCCCTGGTTGGAAACATGGACAAGAAACCAGCGGTCCTGCTTCGCGGGTGGGTTAATTTTGACCGACACCTACTTGTTGCAGGCCCTTGATGCAGGGCGCTGCATTGCTCAGGTTTGTTGATGGAATGGATGCCAAGATTCCCGATGGCGCACCGTCCTTGACCAATTGCAAGAAGTTGGTGGTGGAAGGGCCGGCGAAGCCGCTCGGCTTTCGGACGCTGGCATCCGTCCTGGTCTTTTCAGCTGCAGAAGCACCGCGTCAAACTGGTGTGTCTCTGTGCGTGTATGTGTAGGTAGCTTGGTCCATGTGCAAATCAGGTTTCCATCCGGTGTCGCCATTGAGGGAGAGGCAGGAGTTTGCGGGCGATGAGTGTTTTTGAAGATCAGCGAGCTCGTCCTTTCTTGAGACGATCCTGTAAAGGGTTGGTTTTAGTGTGCTTTTTGTGGATATGCATGTAACTGCGGTCAAATGGACGACATCAAAACATATTTATAGGTTGGCCCTAAATGGGTCTGTCTTTTTGCGTGGGTCGCCCTTTTGGCGGCTGCAAAGAGAAGCCAGGAGGAAAGCCGAATCCATTTTGGGGCGTCCTTTGGGGCGTCCCAACGGGCGAGCCAAGCATTTGCTGGCCAGGTCACGATCAAGAACGCAAGCAGCGATGTGAAATCGGTGCCAGCGGGTGTCCACAAGGAGACGACCCTGGATCTGTGAGAGCTGCTGCTTTGAAGGCACAGGTCAATGCTTTGAAAGCACAGAGTCTTTTCCCACACAGCCTCGGCAATATACCTTTGGCCGAATTCGAATTTTGCCCAGACGTGCATGGGGACCCGGCATCTCCAAACAACCTGTTGCAGTGTATTTCCCGCCTGCATTTCAGTTTTTGGTTGGCCCGAAAACCAGGGGAAGGTTGGAACAAGACAGGGTCCCCTTTTTGCTTCAAGTTGCTCCCTGGGTTTTCCCCAAAAGGCGCAACTGGCAAATGTCGAGCCTGAAAGGCTTCAGCAAGCCGGGCGGCTCTGAGGCAGCCCCGCCCAGTGGCCTGAAGGTTCTGAAGCTAATGCAGCCGAAAGACTCGCGACGGAAGCCCGCGAAAAGCAGAAGCCGCGTCCTTCCGCGCATTCAGCTTTCGCTGGGCTGCAGCCAGTTGTGACGTGTGGAGTTCGTTTTGGATGCTCATCCCACGAATATTGTCCCTTATCTTTATTTGGGTCAGATGTGGTGTCTACCTTGCATGGGGAGTATCCACATATGATTTGTTTTATCAACACATATCTAAAAGCACAAATTCAACCTTTGTCGAGGTTGTGAAACAGCGCAGCGCTGACAGCGCTGCTTTGAGCAGTCAACTTGAAGGCGACAAGAACAACAGCAGCAACAGCAACAACAACAGCAGGAACAACAGCAGCAACAACAGCAACAGCAACAACACCACCACCGCCACCACCACCACCACCACCAACAACAACAGCAACAGCAGCAGCACCCACACCAACAGCAGCACCACTCGGGTTTGAAGGATAAACCTGGAAACTTGCGCGTCCTCCTTTGAGCACCGCGTGCTTCGTGGAAACGCGTGCGGAAAAGCGAAGCAGAAACCTGAACACCGTTGCGCACGTCTTTCAGCGCCTCGTGAACACTGTCGTGCACTCCTTTGGGCGTCTCCTGCTTCGTAGACAGGAGCGCGAGAAGGCGAGCGAAAACCGGGACGCAGTCGCGCACTCCTTTGAGCGCTTAGCGCTGCGTGGAAACGAGCGCGCAACGGCCAAGGGAAAACCCAAACAGTGGCGCCCTTTTCTGCAGCGTTTTGTGCTTCGTGGAGAGGAGTGCGGGAAAGCCGACGAAAACTTGGGCACTGTCGATATCGGCCCGGCAAGTTGGGTTTTGCACAGGGACACGCGTTTTGGGACGCAATGCTCTCCGCAGCCACTGCAACCAGCTCAAAGCCCGGCAGAGGCGATGCAAATGGGCGCGGGCCTTACAAGACGCCTACCGTGCTGGTGTGACACGCACGCGACCCTCCATGCGGGTGACAGAAGCATGCGGCCTTCCGTGCGGGCGAAAAACGCACGAGGGACCGAGCGGCCCTTAACGGGTGAAGCCCGAGCCAGAGCTGGCTGCCCTGTTGGGTCGTTGAGCGCCTCGGCCAATTTGCAACGTGCGGAAGCGACGCTGGTAGTCGAGCTCCATAGCGGCGGAGCCGCGCCACGGAAGCGCTGCGCGCCGTTCTGCGGCGGAGGCGGAAAGACAGAGGCAGCGCCGCGAACCTCGTGGAGCGGACTATCGCACGACACGCGCGAGCTCGCGAGCTCCTTGCTGTGCCCACGCCTGGGAAGTTCGCGCAATGTGCAGGAAGCACTAGGGCAAGACTGGGTGGAGACGTGGGCGGGCTGGGAAGAATTCGAGCGGGCACGAGAGGAGGAGCAGCGCGCTATCTTGGACAGATTTGTAACGATTGCGGAGATGAACGCTCCGTTTGATGTGCGATCGGACGCAGCTCGCTTGGCGGACCTATGTCGTGAGGGGTTCGTGGTGATCCCGGCGAGTAGTCACGGAGCAAACAATTGCTTGATCGACTCTCTCATGCTGGGACTCTGCCAGGAAGGTTTGTTGCCCAGGGAGTTGCTGACGGAGTCAGACAAGAGGCGGCTGGCTGCAGAGCATTGTCGCGCGCACTTACGCACGGTCGTCGGGGACGCGGTCGCGGCAGTAGCGCAGGGGCAGTTTCCATATTTGGATGCGCGTCGAGACGCGCCGCACATCGTCCCGTATTTGTTGAGCGAGTTTGGCGCAGCGCACTGCGGACGGTTTCAGATTCACGTGTTCGACCGTTTCGCGGACGTCGGCGTAGATCCCGAACGCGGGCGCCTGTCGTTCGTTGTGGGTCACAGTTTTGCGGGAGCAGCGAGCGTTACGTTGCGTTTGTACAATTCCACGACTCAGTGCGGGCAGGGGTATCACTTTGACTGCCTAGTGCGAGGTGTGGCGCGCGGCCGGGCACATGAGGACGACGCCTACGCGAGACGCGAAGCTGGATGCTGTCACGCAGGGAGCGCCTCAAGGGGTGAGAGGTCCGCGCTGGCAGGCAGCAAAAGTAACGTGACAACTGACGGCTTAGAGGAGCTCCCAGAGACGAAGAGAGCGGCGAATGCCCGGGTTGTTCCGGACTCCAATCTGCTGCAACGACTGCTGGAAAATTTCTTCGCCACGCGCGGAGCTGCGATAAGGGTGAACGAAAGCGACGTGGCGGACGTGCGCCGCTCGTGGGAGAGCGACGCTGCGCTGGCCGCGAAGCTGCACACGCTTCTTCAAGCCGGGCTCGCGTACGCAGATTCTGGAAGCTCTGCGCGGCAACGTCTGCTGGAGCAATGGCTGGGGTACTACACGGCTTGCACACAGGGCGTAGGGCAGACGCTTGGCGACACGCGCAGCCGTCCCAGAAACGCAGCAGTGACAAGCGCACATGCGGAGGAGCTCATGGCGCAGACGCCAGGTATGCCGCGCGTGACGGGGCAGGACACAGCAGCGCGGCACGCAGCACGTCCTGCCAGCAAATCGGCCATGTCAGATGGAGACAGCGCCAGCTACCAGGGAAAGCAGGGGCGTGCTTCCCTAGCGGCTTTCCTGCGAACGCATCTTGGCTACGTCCTGCCGCCAAAGGACGGTTTCGTGGCAGACGTGGAGGCTATGGGCAGCAACGTTCGTCTGATCACCGAAAAATTCCAGGAGTTGCTGCAAGATGTTTTCGAGGAAGCAGCCGAGCCAGGAGCAGCGCAGCGGCTGGCGGAGCAGTGGGCATCTGCGCTCGCAAGCGACGCCCAGGCAGGGGAGAACGCATGGAAGGACAAGTGTCCAGGCGGAGTAGCTGAGAAAAGCAAGGCGGAGACGTCGGGCCGCGCAGAAGATCGAAAGCGGCAGCGCTCGGAAGCGTCGGCGCCACGCGCGCAGGGACAAAACTTGCAAGGCGGGGCGCCTCCCTCTGGAAAGCGCGCGCGCCTGCGAGGCAAACAGCCGCCGTCGGGTATGTGGTGCAGCGTGGAGAAAAGCGAGGCACCCTCGGCGCACGACCATTTCCACTTGCGTTTGTTGCCCAGCGCGCAAAGCTCAGATCCCCGGGCGGACCGAGATACCCTCGCGCAGCAAGTAGCAGAGAAATTGAGTCGCTATCCAACTTTACCGCGCCGGTTCCAAGGCATTGCCGCAGACGTCACGCAAGCTGTCGACTTGCCAGACACGCACTGCGCGTTCGCAGACTGCGACTTCGAGGCAGAATGGACAGCAGAACTGACGGAGCACCTCGTTGCTGAACATGCTGCGGATTTAGCGCCGCTGGCTCACAAGGTGCCAACGTGCTCCGAAGATCCGACGGGATACATGGCTGCGTATCGCTTGGCCTTGACTCATAAATGCCAGAGTTTGCCGCCACTAGCCCACACAGCTCTGGACAGGCGCGCTGTGCGCACCTTTCGAGCAGCCATGGACAGCCCGGCTCTAGAGGAACTTATCTGCCTTGTCTGCGCGCGTCGCTTCCCGTACAACCCCTCCGTGCAGAACAATGAGGTTTCCTGGCAGCGCATCGTTGAGGGAGACAGGATCCTGGGCTGCGCGCGCGCAGAAGCCGAGTACATTTTCGGGAAAAAAACGTACTGCGAGAAGTTCGTTGCAGCGCACGCGCCTGCGGTGCAGGCGAACATGCTGATGGAATTGGACGACTGGTCCATGAGCACAACGACCTCAGAGCCCCTTGAATTGCTTTGCTGCCCAGAGGACAAACGGTGCAGAAACCGGTGCTCAACGTCGCGTTGCTGCGAAGCGTGTCGAGCACCGGTGTGCGTGTTTTGCACGGGAGCAATACGCAGCCCGCACGATCGTCCAGCAGAAGCGCTCAGCAACGACATGATGATCTTCTATGCGCCTCGGGAGGTGTACGAGTACGAGGCAACATTCATGGAGTTAATATGCGCGAGTCCCTGTCTAACCACAATGATTTGCTTCAGCCTGGAAAGAAAATACCGCGGAGACAGGGTGCTAGACGAGGACGCGTTTATGCAGCGGCACCGCATAGCAGCGCGGGGCAACGCCACGACCTTCCCGTTGCCGTGGGAGGAGCTCTTGGAGACGATTCAAGCAGCCGATGCGGAGAGTCCGCATGCCAGACCGGCACTGCCTCGACTGGGCAGCGACCTAACAGAATTTGTCTCTGTTCTGTTGAAGTCAGCGGGCGACGCGAGAGAGACGCACGCCATGGCTCGGTTCATACACCAGGCTTGCGTGAGAAGACGTGTCGTGGTAGCTTTGATAGAGGGCGCAATAAACCGCCAGCACCGTGCGTACGCGCATTTGGAGAAACGGGAGGTGCGCGAGCGCGCCAAGCAGCTCCCGGAGTGCGGCGTGCCGGAGGAGCTCGTGGCGCTCTTGCCGCATGACGCCGACTTGGACGAGCTGCAGCGGCAAAAAGCTGCAACGCCGGTGCGGAGCCACGTGCCGTTAGAGGAAGTCCGCCGGGAGCTCGGCGGCTGCTGCAAGCCGAACGCAGTCGTGAATGAAAAGACGAGCATGGGGTGTGGCGACGCGGAGGCTAGCGCAAAGGCAGCGCTGCTACGCTTCGGAGCACTCGCGGGCGAAATGAGCAGCATGGAGAAAGTTGAGATGACAGCGGGCCAACGCATTGTAGATCAATTCGAGCCATGGTACTTTGGAGTAGCCTTTGCGTT